AGCAGCCAAAAAAAAAAAACTAGGGTTCAAAATCCACAAACCTAAAATCTAGAATTTGTCTCTAAAATCAAATCCAGCTAACACCCAAATCAATTAAACCTCTATAAAGCACTAAACAAGAAAAAACTACTGCAAACACATAATACTTTCAATGAAAATCAATTAATTGAAACTCTTGAACAACATTGATCACATAACATTAACTCTACCAGTTATAAAGCAAAGAAACTGAATTAATATGTACAAATTTGCAACAGGATAGATAGATCTTGAATGTTGAAAAAAACCCATAATTACCTGTTCTCCAATAGATATGTCCTGAATGTTGTTCAAGAGTTCCTGATCCTCAATCTCAAGCTCGACAACGGTAGACATGGCCTAAAGATGGAGAAAAAAAAGGATAAATGTAGTATACACCAATGTTTATATAGGGCTCACCCACCCGCCGCCTTACGTCAACCCACCCTATGCCGCGTTAAAAGAGAGGGAAAAAGAATGATATTTTGAAATATTTAGATGACTTTATTAAAACGGATGAGAAAAAATTGTCTAGTGTTTTTGTGTCTAATATCGAGGATATGATTCTAGATAGGAGGAGGTTGATGGCATGTTAAGGGTATACAATTTTAGCTTTTGGGTTGACTTTGGTCAATATTCGGGGTTCGAATGCTTTGATAGAAATTTCTAGAGTTTCATTGAATTCAGGGGATGAATTTTAGGTTTGAATGAGATCTTGGTTGAATTTTTAGAGGTCTCGAGCTTGGTTTGACATTTTTAGGCGTTATGTTCATTTCTTGTGATTTTCACGAGTTTCGGGTCAAGGAGACCTCATATTTCGTGTTTCAATGATTCCATTGAGCCGAAATATCTAGTATAGTCAAATTTCATATATGGTTTGTGTGTACGGGGTTCTGAACGAATCATGAGGATCATTTCAATGTTTTTGTGTTGACTGATTTTACTTGGGTCTGGGTTCTGATGCATCTCGCAATCGCGAGGGAGGGCACACTTTCGCTAGGCTTGCGATAGTGAGGTCTGATTCGCTTTTGTGAAGGTTTAATTTTCCTTGACCTTCGCGATCGCGAAGGGCCTATTCACGATCGCGACCTTCGCAAAAGCGAAAGTCGAAATTATTTTTGGGGTTCGCTTTTTCGAAACAGTGGTTGTTTTTTATTCATCAGAGGGGGGTTTTGACCTGTAAATTTTGGGGTTTAATCCCCATTCTTCATTTTTGACCTTGCTAAAACCCTTGGAGGCGATTTTGAAGAGATTTCTTGTGCTAAATAATTTGGGTAAGTTTTTATGACCCTAAAACTTCATTTTCCTTTGATTATATATGGATTTTTAACATCAAAACTTGAGATTTTGATTGGCTAATGACAAGGTTTTTCAAGAAATTGAGTTCTAAACTAAAATTGAGATTGTGAACTGATTGTAATTTCTTTTTTCGAAATGGTTTTCACCAACAAATTCCAAATGACTTAGGTAACATCTTCAAGTAAAGATTGTTGGATTCAAACATCATTTTGGGAATTGATTAACCCATTTTCTCAAAATACATAAGTTGAGTATTGTTAATTCCGGCATCTTATTGTGAATTCTTGATTGAAATAGATTGTATGACTTTGGACGTCGTTCGGAAGAGGAAAATACACATTTTGAATTGACTAGTTGATCAGATTAAAGCAAGTGATCTCCTAAATCTGATAAATCTAGTAGAATTTGTATATTTCCCTTCATCGTGTGTGTTGGGGAGTACTGTGAGTGGAGTGATGGATTTTTTGTTCTACTTGATTAATCTTAAAGAATAAAATGAGTATTAATGGAAAAAACATCATTATATTTATTGTTGATAATGATGTTTTGTGAATTGCCTTATTGTGGCCCTATTGTGAATTACTTGCCAAAGAAGAAACAAAGAATTGTGTTGTTAGAATGTGGTTGATTTGGGACTTCAAATAAGATTTGTTTTTTATGAAAATGGGTCTACTCTAGTAGAAAAAATTTATTGTTGTTGAACTAGTCAACTAGGTACATTTATTCTAACTAAAACCAGAGTAAAAAACATACTTAAAGAATTCTTGTTTTCTAAGTTTCTTATCTAAACTATCACCAAATGTTTATGAAAATACAACTCATTTATCAAACATTCACTTTTTCTATCTGACGGTGATATTTCAAAAAGTGAACAACAGATGATTTTTGTCCGTTTTGATAAATATTTGGTGATAATTCAGGTATAAGAAGGAAACACCTAATAGTTTCGACATAAAGCTGATAATTCTCATATTAGTACTTTTGAAAAAAATAGACTTATTGCTATTGAACCAATCAACAGATTTATTTTTTTATTAGTGCAGATATAAAATAAAAACAAAAGTAGATTAAAAAATGAGAGGGGATTGTAACTTTTCTCAAATTATGGAATTGATGAATCAACAACGACAATATACTGATATTCCTGTGTTCTAAGCTTTCTATCATTTTACGTTTATCGAAAAATCTTTGCTCTCAAGAACATTAGCATTTACAACTTCGATTCAAAAACTTGCCATACAAAGTTGTAGCTGAAAAGTATTCATATATTCAATCGAATTGACAAAAACATTTCAGGAGTACAAAAAGAATACTAATAGAAGGCGAAAAGCTATAGAGATCACCATTTATGCTAAATCCTTCAATCTATACCTCATTCAAACCATGGAGGAACTAAACGAAAACAATCATCTTCTGTAACTTTATACTCCCTCCGTTTCAAAAAGATTGGTCTGGTTTGACTTGGCACAAAGTTTAAGAAATTAAAGAAGACTTTTGAATCTTGTGGTCCTAAATTAAAGTTATGTCAAATGTACAAAATTGCCCTTAATCTTGTGGTCTTAAACATGTCACGTGGAAAGCAAAAAGTAAAATGTTTCCAAAATAAGAAAAAGGTCATTTTTTTGAAACTGACTAAAAAGGAAAGGAGGTCATTCTTTGTGAAACGGAGGGAGTATTATTTACATTTGTGCTAAATCTTGCAGTACTAAGAATACTGGGAGTTTGGTCAATGAGCAGGCCTTGCTTCTTGCCTTCCTGTCCTGACATTATATATCGTTATCGCTCCATCTCCTATTGCCTATGCAGAAGATTTGGTGAAATAGTAAAACGGAAGTCTTCTAGCTTTTGTCATCCTCATAATACGCATAGAGGTAATCCATGCCATCATCGACTTCTTGTTTTTTCTCCACAATCAGGGTTTGAACCATGATGCTCTCAGGAGAAGGCAAACACTCTCCTGAAACATGTAGTCTTGGATACTGTAGAAACGACGTGTCATTTCTATGGATAAAAATAACCAACCACTACTATGGGGATGTTCAAGAGCAAAACTACAGGAAATCAACAAGGAGAAGATGACACCAGACAATATTTTGGTCCTCAACACAACCCGATAACATGCTTTTGACAAACAAACCTTTTTCTTCCAAGGAAAATATTGAAAATTAACATACACCAATAATTAGCATACACATAATGTCTAATGATGTGGAATTTGAGATTGAGAGTCAAGAAACAAAGTTAATAATGTATCTTCAACCCATAAACCTAAAATCTTGAATAAATTTGGCAAATAAATTAAACACTAAACATGAATGTTGAAGAAAATTCATTATTACCTCTTCTCCAAAATACGTAGTTCCACAACATTAGACATTATGTAAAGCTAATTTCAGATATAATGGATCTTCAATGAACGTTTGTATAGAGATTCTCGAGAATTATTCCCATAGAGGATCTTGAACGAAGTTGATGGGAGTTTGAAGATAAACATACATGAATATTTATATATGGCTCACCAACCCTTAAAAGAGAGGGAAAAATAATGGTAGTTTGAATTTATTTTTCGATTCTCTATACTCATTTGGCGTATTTTAATTTATCTCTGATCGAGGTTATGAGTTTAGATAGAAGGTAGGTTAGTAGGTAGTGTAACATTATCTTGCTTCGGGGTGGCTGGTGATTGTGATGATGAATTAGTTTTCATTTTTCTATTTTATCATTTTATTCCGTTGATAATATATCTTAATATGTTGTTTATGTTCTTTCGATTATCACATGATTTATTGTCATTTTGGTTCCTCTTTGGTAGATGTTTGCATTGTTTCCTTGTTATTTATTATATTTTCTTTATTGTCTCCTACTTCTTTATATCGAGATTTGTTGCACCTGAGCCGAGAATCTATCGGAAACAGTCTCTCTACATTTGTGAGGTAGTGTCGTAATGGTAAGATTTGCGCACATTCTATCCTTTTATCATCTTGAAAGGTCAACATTCCCTTGTTTCTCGGACCTTGATGACCCTTAAAGGTTTTACAAGTATTTTCATCTCTAAAATTTAAAAAGACATCGTATTTTCATCGAGGACAGTATTGTGCAAATGAAAAAAATATGTCATGGATTCAATAAATTTGTTGAAATTTGAGCTGATGAACAAAGAACTAGAGAAAAAACATACTTAATGAATTCTCAATTTTCTGAGTTTCATATCTAAACTATCACCAAATGTTTAGGGAAATACATCTCAATCAACAACCATTCACTTTTTCTATCTAAATGATGGTGATATTTCTTGTAGAAACAAATGATTTGTGTGTTTCGATAAATATTTGGTGATAATTAAGGTAGGAGAAGTAAACACCTGATAATTTCGATAGAAAGCTAATATTTCTCATATTAGCTATCCTTTTTTTTTAACGCGCCAAAATCAAAAAGTATTTGGGACTTGAAATAAGAATATTTTTCTATAAAGATAGGTCTACTTTTAAAAAGAACAAGACTTATTGCTATTGAACCAGTCAACTTATACATATTGGTGCAGATGGAAAATGAAAACAGAAGTGAATCCAGAAATGAGAGGAGCTTGTTGTAACTTTTCTCAAATTTTTGGAATATTAGAATCAACAACTATAATATATTGATATTCCTGTGCTCCAAGTTTTCTATCACTTTACGAATACTAGTAATGCTAAATCCTCCAAACATTTTATACCTCAATCGAACCATGTACATATAAAAATGGTGGAAATAAGAGTCCTTGCTTCCCCATTGACATAATTTCTTCTCTGAGAGATATTAACATGCATGAAATGGTTCATGCCATTTAGTAAACTCATCATCTAAACAATGGGCACTATTCTACAGATATGTCATGAACCTTCATTCATTAGAGATGGTGCTTTTCATCAGCCACCTTATCAGCAGCTTCACACTTAGGAACAACAGTCTCTTTCTTCTTAGTTTGGCGTGATGATCCAGCACCTGAGTCCTGGGAGTTTGGTCGATGAGCAGGCCTTGCTTCTTGCTTTCCTGTCCTGACATAACCATTATCGCCCCATCTCCTGTTGCCTATGCAGAAGATTTGGTGAACTAGTAAAACATAAGTCTTCTAGCTTTTCGTCATCCTCATAATACTATGGGGATGCTCAAGAGCAGCACTACAGGAAAAAAAACAAAGAGAAGACGACGCCAGACAAGATTATGCTCCAGAATACAATCCAATAACATACTTTTAACAAACAAACCATATTCTTTCCAAGGAAAATATAGATCTCTCTTTAACTGGGAGAACCATTGCAAGGAATCTATCAAGAATTACCTATTTAGATGACTTCTAATTAGATATTCAGTGGTCAACTGGATGCATCTCTAGGAACTTAGTAACACCAACAATGGTCAGAATCCTTAGAAGTCAGCATGTGGCATATAGAACACAACAAATTCATAGTCGTTTGAAACCTAATAAAACTAACACAGATCAATGCAATTGATGCACAAAAGTCAATCATAAATGATAACTAAAATGAATCCCCCAAGATCAATAAAAAGGCTATTGAAACAAACATTCTTCCGTGTGTAGAGTAGATTGAGCATAGAATCGCAAGACGTAGTATATTTTCTTTCTTTCCTTCTTGTGTTCACCCAACATAGAAAAGCAAAAATTCACCTGCAGCAATAAAACCGAACAATGCCAACAAAATTTGTTCCTTCTTCACTCTGCTGATGGAGAGGTGCTTCAGAGGGAATCGGTATCACTGGCATGTAAGTTTCTTTTTTTTTTGTAGTTCATTTGCCATTTATTTACTATCATATTGATAACCTAATGACAAAAATATGACAAGCTATCTTTCTTGATAGTTCGATGCAAACCAAATGTGTGAGTGATTTGTTCACCTATATAGTAAACTGGATAAATCCTCTCCGAGGCATGCTGATCATATTGCAGGAAATAACTAACAAGACGAAGTATAACTAGTTCGGAACCAACTTTAAGTGGTTGAAATTATCCAAAACAGTAAATTGGACATAATAGCATGGGAGTGATGATCAAAATGGCAGTAAATAGATGGAGATTGGTTCTATATACGTACCAGTAAACATGCTCACAACCTTTTACAAGAGCAGTTTCTTGGAGCATTATCTTATTCAAACATATGGCACAGACACCATGATGATTGTTCTCACAATCAACTTGGTGCATTTCCTCAGAATTGCTTCTCATTTCAGTCTGAAACAAAAATCCACCTCAATTAGCTTAACATGTATCGTCTAATCAAATAACACAGCAGTAAGCCTGGACAACGGAAAGATTATATTCTATTCGTTAAATGATGACAAGCAACGCTACACGGGCCATAATCATGTACCAAGATGGAAACAGGAAGAAAAATTATTGGCATTAACGGAATTCAAGTATTTGATAAGGATACGATACTTAACTCTCATTATAAGGACTGACCATGAAATCTAAATCAATGGCGCCAAAAGATAGTTAAATCAAGAATCTTTAACTAGCTGCTATCCAAATTCCAAATCCTTCCAATTGACCATTGTTTACAGATTTTTGTCACTAGAAACTTCAGAAAATCTACCCAAGGATGTGGCCTAGTGACCAAATCCCAGGTTGTGCTAAAACCATAGTTACAAGTGAAAAAGATGAACAAAACTGCTTCATCAGCCTAACAAAAAAAAACAAGGGCGTCTATCATTGAAACAGTATCTTCTATGTATCTCTGGTCAACCCAAAAGCAGAAAAGTCTAAAGCAGTTCAACTTAATCCTCTGAACTGAACTGCTAAGTCTTCAAGACATCTGAAATTCCTTTCTTTCCAGATTGTCCACCAAATGCAAGCCAGGACAATCCTCCATCTATCTCTGTGTGTCAATCCTGTACCTGCTTCTTCCCAGTTGAGTAAGACCTCAATAATCTTTCTTGGCATTGCCCAACCAATACCTCTAAGGCTAATGAAGATCTTTCATAGCATCTCTGTGATCCTACAATTAAGGAATAGATGGCTGACTGTCTCAATTTCTTCACCACACATGTAGCACTTTGAGCAAAGGTTGAAATTTCTCTTGCTAAGGTTGTCATGTGTCAACACCCCTTCCCAGGCAAACAACCAGCTGAAACATGCTACTCGATAGGGTATTTTAACTCTCTATTGAGAAGCTTATAAGCTGAACTAACTATGAACCATCCTCCACTGTCCATTTTCCACCAAAGTCTATATTACTAATTAAACTTCAATTAATCTATCATTCCATCTATTAAACAACAATAAATCATAAGACCAGATCAATTAGGGTGTAGCCACAATACAAATTACAAGTTCAGTAGAACCCAGTAGCTTTAGCTCAACCCCTTTATTTGTATTATTAAGAAAATGAGTTGAAAAGTTTTCTTCCCGTAACCAAACTATCACGAGACCAGATTCTGCATAAGGGGAATTTTCTTCAAAACTGACAAGTGCACTACAATGCAGTCAGACGCACGGAAAAAGGTCGTAGAACATGAACGATAAGTGAAACAAAATACTGACAAGAAAAATAAAACGAATGTTAGCTCATAAAATTACCGAGATCTATCTACATTAATTATTTTTAATTGACATCTTCCCAAATCTTACATTAATTATTTTTAATTGACATCTTCCCAACTCTTTCCTGCACCTCCTCTTTCTTCTCCTTTTCTATAACTTAAGGAAGCAAATATCACTTTGCCTACCAGGGGAGGAAGGAAAAAAGGGAAGAACCAAAGTAAACTCAACTCTAAACAATAAGAAACAAACAAGAAATCACTGAAGGGAAACTCATTCAATCACTGTGTACTACAAGCATTTATGACTATCAGTCCACCAAGCATCCCAAAAACACCAGATGAATCATCAAAGACGGGATTCACTTATAACCATTGCATCAATTGTTCAGAAAGGCAAAATTTGAATTAGCATAATAAAGCAAAACTTCCTTTTATGGGTAAAAGCACTGTAAACTTTCTTTTTGCTGGTAAGAATAGTATTCTAAATCCGCACTCCACTATACTATTCAGAGACACTGGAGATATCAAACAATCCATCACAACCACACAACACACATGACACAAGTAAGTGCACATTAGATGGGTACTTATTTATATTGAAGAAATTCAAAAGCATAATCTATACTCAGTAAAATGCAATTGATTATCATATATGTTAGCCTAGCTAATGTTTTCTTACAATTTTTTTTAAAAAATATCCCTTATCATGCAATATGCAACTCTGCACTTCCCAAGTTAAGCTAAAAATATTCAAACATAGTCACTACAATGTCACATTTTCTTTTTAGCACGCTTAAAAAAACTGCTACTTCCGATATATGTAAATTCATTGATCTTAGCACTCTCATTTTATCTTTATGACATACTTTTGGAGGAACTAACATGTAGGAGACCAATAAATACCAAGAGTAAAGAAGTTTATTACTTTGAGAAGAAATCCAATGGTGTGTTTTTCTACCTTTCTTTGATATGAAACAAGATTACCTGAATGTAAAAACTTTTGACCCCAGTTTTCAAGACTTATGGAGGCCAAATAGATAGGATATCCCTCGGAAGGAGAATGAAGATTATTATCATTCTCCCCACTTTTTAGTTCACTAACATGTCCTTACTATTTTTGACAGCTCACTAAAAAAAGGGCCTTCTCGACATTCATACAAATTTCCCAAAAAAGAATTCATTGGATTGTCAAAAAGAACCATATCTGCTTGATTGATTGCCCCGAAAATAGTACAGAGAATGGCGTTTTGGGTGAAGCAAAGGTGAGGGAAATAAATTTGGGGAGGATGCTAATGTACTACCTTCATGTAGTAGTTTAGTAAGACCCAAATAATATATATGTACACACACACACAGACACACACTAAACAATTGACAATGGCAAATATCATCAGCATCGATATCAGTCTAGGTCAAGATAAATGGAAGATACTTCTGGAACTAGTTTTTGGTATTTGGTATGTTATATATATTTAACTTATTTCTATCTTAAGCTCCTTGTCTAGTCAAATACTTTCATATAACACAAAACAACCATGAATAAACCTTATTGTTCAAGAGTTTTTGGTTTGTTGGTCCGTTTATTATTTGCTCTATTTCTATCTTAAGTATTTTCTGTGTTCTTCTTGAGCCACAGTAATATACATACATCAGGCATGCATTAAAGGCAAATAGTTGACAATGGTGTTAGGTCCCCTCTTTCACAGAGATACTGAATTAATATGTCATCTTGAACCCATTAAGCGCAAGGGTTCTAAACCCAGAAACCAAAAATCTTGAATTTGTCTGTAAAATCAAATGAATTAAAGCTCTGTAAAACACGTAATGAAAAAAAAAACCATGAATTGTACCTTTATCCTTTTCTTCACCATCTTATTAAGGCCGTGTCTACCGTTGTAGAACTTGAATAAATAATGTATACCATAAACCTAAAATCTTGAATGTTGGCTATCAAAACAAATAAATTAACACCTGTTCTCCCATAGACGACGTATGGTTGTGAAGGTCGACAACATTAGACATGGCCTCTAAAGATGGTGAAGAAAAGGATAGAGGCAGTATACTAACTAATTTCACATCTTGAAAGAAACTGACCGGAGATTTGGGATTAACAGACACCAATGTTTATATAGGGTTCTATGCCGCCTTAACAAAAGAGAGGGAAAACAATGGTATTTTAGGAAAGTATCAAATTAAAAAAAGTTTTTAATCACTAAACCCACATACATAGTTGTTTGTTAAAGAAGACATCTCAAGTTTAAGAATATAAATAAATTTTATCTAATTAAATATCACATAAAGTCATGAGTACGAAATAAATTATGTGGGGATGAGAAATTCGATAGGAGATAGAGAAAATATTAAGGTTTGGACTTTTGAGTGATCCTTGGATTCCTAATTCGATCGGTTTTAAGCCCATACAAGGACATACACAAATAAATTCACAGTTGAGGGTAAACGACCTTATAGATCAATACCATCATATATCGAATATTCAAGATCTTCATCACCATATTTGCCCAAATGATATCAACTCTATTTTGTTTATCCCAATATCTAGTACCGAAAATTCTAATAAAAGTTATCTTATTGGACTTTTTTATGGTCACTTTAAAAAAATACAAACATTTCTATTGCTTCTGCCTCGGTTCTACCCGGTATAACATAGAACTGTCTGCAGTCACCACTAGCCTGAGAGTCACTACGAGCACCACATTGAGCTCCCTTAGTTCCACCCTTGGTGCCCTTAGCACTACCTCTAGGACTCTGAGAAGTGCCTCGTGCCGTTATAGTTGGTGTAAAACGAGTAGTATGTGATTCAGACTGGACAGTAGAAGAACCATAGGGCAATCCTTTGTCTTGTGCCCAAACTTCTCACAAACAAAATAACCACATGGACCAGAACCGCGCTAAGAGTAACCAGAAGAGTCTGCACGCACTCTCTGACCTGAGGATAAACTATGTGTACCCTGACTGGTTTGGCTAGGACTGGATCCACTAACACCATCTGATCTTTGAATGGCGGTCTACACTGGTCTACCCTAATAACCCTGTGAGCCCTAACCTGAATAATCTCTACCTTTGGATGAATGACCACTGAACTGACCCCGGCGACGAAATATCTTAATATTGTTGCCCTGACTAGCATGTCAAATACTCTCAATCATCTTGTATTGTCAATAATACTCTGGAACGTACCACGTGATAACACAAAAGAAGTTGTGGTCTCATAAAGATAACTAGCGAGCCCATTTACCAATTTATGGATCCACTCAAACTCTATAGGAATACCCAATATGGCATAGCGGGACAACTCATGCAAATGAGCCTTATACTCAAAAACTGATAAGGAGTTCTGCTCCAATCTATCAAACTCACCTCTGCACTGATCTCGAAGGTTGTAGGGCACAACCCTCTCAAGGAACACCTTAGTAGACTGCTCTCATCCTATAGCAGGAGAACCAACGGGCTTTCAAGTAAGAACTGATCTCCACGACTCCTCGGCCATTCCTAAAAACTGATAAGAAGTGTAAGACACCCCATGAGCCTCTAAAATATCCCAGTTGAACAACATGTCCTGGCACTCAGTCAAGAAATCATAAGCCTTTGGAGAAGCGAAATATACGAGATCACAAACGTAGATTGCTCGCAGCTAGGCTAAATATGAATTGAGACGAAAGCTTTACAAAGCCCTTTGTAAATATCTCGATATTCCTAGTGATATGCGGGCAAACATCATTCTAAGTAGTCCAAGTTTCCAAGAAAGAGTTCATTTGCACGAGTAAGAAACCAATGTATTTACACGGGTCCTTATGTGAGTTCTTTCAAATTTCTCGTATCCTTTTTTGTGGATTAGCATCTCGAGGTCCTTTGATGGGCATAAAGAAATCATCTTGGTAGCAACCACCAAACTAATAGAACAAGGGTTCGCTTCGCCGTATGTCTACAAGCAAGGTAAGTAGGTCCATTACCAGCCTGCTCCGGACCGAAAAGACCTAACAGACAAATTAATCCCATATCTAGGATCATAGATGCTAACGAGGCGAGAATCTCGAAAACAGACATGGTCGCACTAGAAGAAATATGTGGAGATGTGAATCTCGAAGGTGCAATAGAAGACACTGAAGAAGGACCAAGAGTTTGAAATCCCACACTAGGCCCCAAAACTAGACGTGTAGTACCAATTGTAATAGGATAACCTGAAGTACCCAGAAGAACATTAGAAGGAGAGACACTATCCAATATAGCCAATAACATGACTATCAACTCATGAAGCATCAGAGTACTATCTGGAACCGAAGGTGGCCGGGCTGGATCCCTCACCTCAGTCTGCTGCTCAATAACATCATCATGCTCATGTATGGGCTCAAGCGATGCCTATCTATCTCGTCCTTGAGCAGGTGTTGCCTCTCTTACTCGACTACGACCTTTAACTTCATCACGTCCCCTACATCGCCCACGAACCGGGGCTCTAGCAGCAGGTACACCCTCGCCCTTTAAAGTATTGGCTCTAGTCTTTGGTATCTACACATAGAGAATAAATTAAAGGTATACAACACTTGATATGAATAATTCGCATGAAAGGAATCAAAGGAAAGAAATTTCTCCTACTAGATATCTTGTAGCCTCTCGAAGATAAGTACAGACGTCTACGTACCGATTCACAAGACTGTACTAGACATCCTGCTCTTTAATTTATTAAATTGTGAATCTAGCGCTCTGATACCAATTTGTCTAGACCCAAAAATTGAGGTCGTGATAGTACATACCCCAAAAATCCCAAAATGGTGTGTAAGCCAAAAGAATCACACATACGAGACTCTCGAAGAGAAGTCAGACCACAGACGATAGAAAAACAAGAAGGAATATCCTAAAAATAGGTAGCATAAGTATAAAGAGAATCTAATATATTTCTAGAATCTGAACTACATCTCAAGTTTTCAAAAAATAAGTAAAGACTTTAAATAATAGATGGAGACTAATGATGTTCATGAAAACAAGATCTCTCTACAACTCCGAAAGAGAGAACTCTGTTGGATCAAATCAATTACAACGAGGCTCACCCTGACTAAGATTTGCATCAAAAGGATAATAGAAGTAGGGGTAAGTACAATCCACATGTACATAGTAGGTTGAACCAACTGAGTATAAACAACTAAACAGACTTAAGAAATAAACTATGAACGCTTCCACTTGCACGCAGAAAAGTCTCATTCCGACATCGATGTTGTCAATTTATATAGAACGACGCAAATAAAGTAAAAACATAAGAGTACAAATAATAATTAAATCAACACATAAACAAGTCACACAACACAATGAGATTGGTCGATACGATGCAATGAGATGATGAATGATGTGGTGGTGTTATGCCGTAATTTTACTAACCTTAGAAAAATCACTTTTTGAAATGTTCTAAGTATAAAACATTTTAAGAAAAATACTTAGAAAAAAGTCGCCACTTAATTTTTTAAAGAAATTAAGAAAACTTATAATTTTCAAAGATTTAAACAGAAAAAATCATTTGAAAATACCAAAGAGGGTTCGGGGTTCAATTTACACTTCGAGAAGGGTTTAAGCATTCGAAGTG